CACACCTGACCAAAGAAACCCTAGCCGACAGTGCTCGCCGGAGAAGAAGAACCAGACGCCGGAGGAGCCAGCCGCCGCCTCCTGCTGCCGCACCGGGAAGTTTCCGACCACCGATAGAGGTAATTTTTCTCCCTGTTGCTCGTTTTTCGACGCTGAGTCCGCCTATGGCCAAACCGGAGCCAAACCACCGGAAAACTCAGCCGAAACCCAGCGGCGCAGCCGCGTCCCTCCTCGATTTTTGCCTCCGATGAGGCCCTTCCCGGCCTCCGTTTGATGTAAATTTTATACCACTGTGATCACCGTTCTTTTCTCTACAGGTTGATCAGAGCCAAACATCAAAACGTGACTCACGCTGGAGGAGCCGTCGCACCGCTGCCGGTAAGTTTCAGTTTTTCGTGATTTTTCGGCCCACTGAGGGCCCTAGGGTTGTTCTATTGCAGAGACTGATGCAAGTATGGCCGAATTCGACCGAAAACGGCCCAAAATGGCCAACCCGAGGCAAATCACCGCCGCTTCGCCGGAGCACGGCGGAGCCGCCGTGCCGGAATTGCGATATTGGCCGAAATGGGCCCTAGGTCTAATTTAGGATTTTTTGGGACACGTGCAGGTACCAATAGTGCGTTTCAGTTCCCCGGGAAAAATTCAGAGAAAATTAGGGATGACCTATAGGCGCACTGTAGAGCCGTAGTCAGACCCCGAAACAAGTAAGGACCCCTCATCCTATTTCCTATCACGGTATTAAAGCTAAATAAATAATTAAACTGTACTGTGTGACTTTATAGATATATAATTGATTTAGGTTGCTAATGGAGCCCGAGTATGATACTGTGTTGGTCTGTTATAATTTGATTTAATTTCCAGTATTAAATGTAGTATGATGTTTGATGTAATTATATTATGGCCCCATATGCATGAATCATGGTTTCCTTATTATGGTCGATATTATGCTTAACCCGATACTGTGTTGTCTTGTTTGGTGTCCATTACTGGTTTACATGTTGTGTGTATTTGCTTAATTGAAATCAAGAAAAAGGTCAAAAAGGTTATGTGAATTGATAGTGAATAATATGGACAGCCTGACTAGATATCTTGGGAGATGGTGGACGGACCGGGTCCGTAGGGAACCCTACCAGGAACGAGGTCTCTCATACCGGACGGGGTATGGAGATCTTATGTGTTTTGGCGCCCATACCGGACGGGGTATGGGGAAGACCCGTTTCACCCTGATACCGGACGGGGTATTGAGGTTCATGGTTTTGGTGCCCATACCGGACGATGTATGGGGACGGCTCTGGAATCAGGTTGGAAATGTTAAGGGTTCACGGGTAGTAGGACCCCTATGGATCCCCATGGATACTAGTAGGCTGGTAAATGAGGAAAATGTGTTGTTTAATAATTGAAACGCAAAGGCGTGGTAAGTAGTTTGTTATACAGTTCATATGATTTCATGATGATGATAATGTTATTGTTTTCATATGTTGTTTTATGGACCTCACCGAGGCAAGTGGACAGTAAAAGTTTTTATGTTAATAAACGAGTTTATTATAAATTATGCTCCATTGGTCTTTTTGTATTTTCTACCCACCTTTACTTCCGTGGCGATGAGATAGTGTGATGTCTTTACTGGGCTGGTGTAGCTCATTCCTTATTTAACCATTTCAGGTCAGGAAGACATTGTTCCCGAGCCCGTTCCGCAGGAAGACGGCGAAGGGGACGCCTAAAGACTCCGTAGTTATAATTATAGTTCTTATTTTCGAGTATCTCTTTTAGTTAGTTTGTTCTTTTATATTTTGAGCACGTTTTTGGTTTTAGTGTAAGGGATGTTAATCAAAATTTTTATTACGCTTCCGCATTTGACATTTTTAATACACATATTTCATTCTAAATTTTCGGGGCCGTTACATTAATAGTAATGATACATAACATCTTAAGATTATAGACATTATATGAAAATGAGATAAGACAATAATAGATAGAGAAATGAGCAAAATCAAAGAAAAAATTAAATATTTTAAATGTAAAGGTACATATAGTTTGTGATAGGTGTTCATTTATCATACGTGTGCATCTATTGTGTAAAGAGTTATGTTTCTTGTGGATATAAGTGATCAAACTTGAAGATGAACTCTATAATTTGGAAAAAAGCCTAAAGAGGCAATGTCACGTATAGAAATTAGCCTAAAAAATAGATAAGATGTCCACTTTTAGAAAAATATTTTGTGAAAAATTTTTGCAAGGCAAACAAAGATGATTTCTTAGTTGTACGGTTGTAAATCTTTTTAACTAGATCAGTTGCAAAAGCCATCTATTATTAGTGGAAAGCACTTGTAGCAATACCATCTACATTACTTGCTTCCTTTTGGTTTGACACTGTTTTGTCAAAATTTACAATACTAGTTGACAAGGGTAGTATTTGAAGTCGACGAAAAGACTTTTTCAAAATTTTTTTAGGCATTTAAATTATTTTTGGGTTCTATCTTGTAAAATTTTAACTATTTGATTTTTTTTTAAAATTGATAATCTATAGACTCATTGTATATTTTAGGTATTCATAGTTTATTGGGTGAATTTAATTTGTTGTTGTGATGATCAGAGATACATAATTTTATGATGATAGAATGAAATTTGATTCAAGGAAAAATATATTGGAATCTTGCTCAAAATTCCTATTTGGTTTAGGATTATAGTCAAGATTAATAATTTATAGATATTCATATTCATAGAGTTTATAAACAAAATTTTAGTATTAAAGAGTTATTAACCTATCTTAAGAGTGATAAAGTACCTTTTTGTGGGAAGAAGTCAACGAAAGAAGTGATATCAAAAGCTATAATTTTTTTTTTTAAATAAGCTCTTATTATTAATGTTCTGTTTAAACCAATAGATAAATATCTAAATAGATTACGATGTAATAACATAAATATCAAAATTTGAACTATATATAATTGGGAAGCTCCTATACTAGTTAAAAAAATTTTGATATCATTTTTCTGTCAAAAATATAAACTATGTTTAAAATTTTTCTTGCATAAAACAAATGTTGTCACATGGACTTCAAATTTTAAGTTAGTAGTTAACAGAGGGCATACATGTGTCTGCCACACTAGCCAACAATTTCATACTTCTATATATAAACAAATTTTTTAGAAAAGTTTATTTATTTAAATATTTTCAGTGAATTAAATTATAAGTTAAATAACAGATATAATAATATAAATACTAAAATGTATACACACACGTGACCTGGTTGGGCTATCTTTTAAATGCATTAATATGTATAAATATTTAATTCATAATCTAATATAAATAAATAAATTTCATGTAAAAATTATGAGTATATATATATATATATGTTGACTATTAATTTAAAATTTGATGTCCATGTAATCACACTATTCTCTACATGGATATATGTATGATGGTGTTCCATAAGTTGTCAGTTATAATATATTATACAGATTTTGTTTCAATGCAATTGCATTAGCATTTTTTAATAATACAGATTATAGCAATAAAAACTTATTGG